AGATGGCGGAGTTACTGACTTCCCATCTGCAATAGGCTTATACTCTAAATTTCATTAACGAAATATTTGGATTTACCAAGAGTGAAAAAAAAAAACCATGGTCATATTTAAGGTGATGGAATATTTCTGTGTGCGTATGCATGTGTATGTGCATGTGTGTGAGTGTCTGTGCGCATCCAGGTCAACATTGGGTGTCCTCAATCACTCATCACCTTATCTTTTTAGACAGAATCTTTCATTGATCTTGACGCTCACTGATTTTGCTAGGCTTGCTGACCTATGAGCTCCAGGCACCAACCTGTCTTGTCTTGCAAAAAAATAAAACAAACCACATAACTTTCAACCATGGTACAAAAACCTAGGTTTCATCAATAAGTTCTAGTGGATTGTGAATATTAACAGGCTTTAGGGTAACCCTAGATTATCATCTTAGATGTATTCAATGAGCAGAATTTCTATCAAATTTGAGGGGATTTCTAGGGGATCCTATAAATGAAGTAGCTTAGATGCCAGGAAGGCTGGCCCTAGACTTTGTTATCTGTACCGGTGATTCTGATCTAGGGACACTTTTACATTCCTATGAGACAAGTTACAAAATCTGGATGCATTTCTTTGGTGCCTCAATTGGAGGAACTGTCCATTGAACAATGAGGACTGGTTTGGATCAAACTTTAATAGTACATTGCTAGGAAGTTGTGTTCTGTATTATGTAACATAAACACATATATTCTCTGACTGAGTTGCTTAAAAATCAGTAAGATGTTCACATAAGCCCTAGGTGCACCTTTGTAAAATTTCTTTGTATCGTTACATAAACAGCTACTAAAGCTACCAATATTTTTTAAATTAAACTCTTCATAGTGTAGAATGCCTAAGAATGAAACTTCAATGAACAAAAAAACCTTGGAAGGGTCAGTCTTTTGACACAACATACTATAGGCTGATTTGAATATAGTATCCAAATTCCCAGGCTAGATTTGCTAGTATATAGACTATAGGAATCATAGTATAACAAAGCCTTTTAGAAGGCAAAGAAGACTTTGAAAGGATAAGTGAAAAGCACAGATTGTGAAGAGCCCATCAAAACTGTCTGTGGATAGACACTGAAACCGATCTGCCCTCTGTATGCTACACTTCCTCTTGGGTCACAATGTTCCCCACAGACTGAATCCCCCTCCCCCAAATCCAAAACATTCAAATATCTGAAACTTTTTGAGCACAGACACGATGCCACACTGGAAAATTCTAGCACGGAAACTGTGAAGAAAATTCTTTAAAATATTGTATAAAATTACCTTCAGGGAATGTGTATCTGAGCCATGAATACATGTGGCACTCGGACAGGCCCTTTCCCCAAGAATCTCATTATATATGCATTTTGCAAATACTCCTGAATCCAAAGACAAGAAATCCAACACCTAGGTCTCAAGCATTGAAGGGTATTAAACCTGTGTGTGAGCATTTCTATACAGAGTAAAACAAAATGTAAAAACTTGAGAAAGCCCCGCTAGCAAGCTGTATCATACATGTGTAGTGACCAGATGTGTAACTATGTCCACCCAGTATTCATGCACAGATGAACAATTAAACCGTGTCTCCCTCAGTGATGCAGGCAACACTGAAACTTGTGAGTTACCATGAAAATCACTTTGGATGATAGCCTTGAAGTGATTAGGACAGAGCCTATCACACGACAGTCAATGAATGATCTCTGGCATTCCTCTTCTTCTTACTACATATTAAGCAAACATGCTGAGCTAGCCCTCCCCACAGAACCCTCCCCGCTTGTATTTACTTACGTGCATTATCCCCTTCCGGAGGTTGATAAAAAGAAAGGCCCAATGATACTATGGCTGCAATTTCTAGTATAATTAAAGTGACATCTTGTAATGCTTCCCATACTAACTGAAGAAAGGTTTTTGGCTTCTTAGGAGGTATAAAGTTCTTTCCAAACACTGCTTCTCTTCTTTCTAAATCTGCAGGATTTCCACTTAAACCTGATTTAAAAAAAGAGAGAGAGAGAAAACAAGTTCTGGTAAAGTCTGAGGACTTGTAAGCGAGAGTATCCACTTTACACAAAGCATATTAATTTGTTCCACTTCAAATTGTAAGTCACAGGACAGTATGGGAATGTTTATCTTTGTTCTTTTTAGTCTAAACACACAGAGTTTATAAATCAGTGAGAAACATACAGAGGTTTACTTGAAGCACACATTTAAAGTAGCTAACTTAAGAGTGGGTCACATGGGGAGTTAAGGGGAAGGCCCTGGTTGGGTCACATGGGTAGGCAAGGGGAAGGCCCTGAGTTTGATGCCCGGCAATGCAAGAAACCCTTTTTTCAACGGCTTCAAAGTTTTCACCATTACTTTATTTACTTTGTTTCCTTTGACCATACTTTTTATAGACACCAAGACATCAGAACCATTTATGTCAATTTGACAGTTTTTTATGTTAAAACTAATTGCTTCTCTGGTTTTAGGAATGCTTCCCTTTAAAGTGGGGGACATTTTGGTAAAAAGGTACAAGGCAGATTTGCTTTAGGTATCGAACGTCAGCTAGCTAATCTGCAAATCAGCAAAATGCTTTGTTAGTTTATTTTTTTAATCCTTATTTATGGAAGAACAAAGCGTTAATTTTAACACAACCTCTAAAGGCATCTCTACTAAAATGTTGGTTTTAAGTAGACTGGTGAGATGTTTGTGTCATGAAGCAGAAGATTCACAATGGTCTCTCAAGTAAGGGAACTACAGCTACCACTACTGGTGGGGATGGGGAGCTGGACTGCAGGATGGCACATTCATTGTTTAGGGTGTGGGGTGAGAAAGGTAGGAGGAGCCTGAGAGAGTTGACAAATGCCACCTTTCCTTTCCTTCACTCTATCTATCAAGCACACCCCCCACCCGCCCTGTTTGTTCCATCATCCAGACAAACACAGATGTACAAAGAATCCTCTAATGAAAAGTGCACATGCTGGGCGGTGGTGGCGCACGCCTTTAATCCCAGCACTTGGAAGGCAGAGGCAGGTGGATTTCTGAGTTTGAGAGTTTGGGGCTAGCCTAGTCTACAGAGTGAGTTCTAGGACAGCCCGGGCTACACAGAGAAACCCTGTCTCGAAAAACCAAAAAAAAAAAAACAAAAAAAGAAGAAGAAGAAGAAGAAGGAGAAGGAGGAAGAAGAGGAGGAGGAGGAGGAGGAGGAGGAGGAGGAAGAGGAGGAGGAGGAGGAGGAGGAGGAGGAGGAGGAGGAGAAGGAGAAGGAGAAGGAGAAGGAGAAGGAGAAGGAGAAGAAGAAGAAAAAGAAGAAGAAAAGTGCACGTACATGGTGGTGAAGGTGTCAGAGGTACCAAAATACTTCTCCCTCTAATTTGTCAAATCAGACCTTAACTTTTTAAACTTTTTTATTTTAGTTTTAAGATCCCATTTATGAGAGACAAGAAAGAAATCGGGAAAGGACCACATTACTCGAAGAGAAGGCTCTTGTTTTCGGTGCTTCGGTTCATCTCAATGCTGAGGCAAGAAGAGAGCCAGACATATCTGACTACATTGCTACAACAGGAAACAAACATAGAGATCCGAAGTCCCACTGCTGAATGTACCAAGAGAAGATTCCAGAGAGTTTTCTCACTGCTAAGTGTAACATGGTCACACTTCAAGGCTTCAAAACGTAACTTTCTGGCACTCTAAACTCTAGACAGAGTCACCAGAACAAAGACAAGAGAAGACTACAGTAATAAAGGGGACACTGGAATCCAGGAAGTCTGGGTCACTTGTTTAGTCTCCTGCTTCCGTGATCTCACATTAAGGAGGAAGAAGGCTGAGTGCTTGTCTGGTTCATGTTGGTCTCCACTTTCTGAGAAATGGGTATACATTTGTTTTTAAGTCTTCCTTAATGAAGATTACAACTGATCACACAACTAACATCTGATCAGCTTAAGTATTACCATGATAATTCCCAAATTATAGGTCACAATTTCATCTTCTATTAGCTATGATGCTTTATGTTAATACTGAAAAGAAAAGCCACATAGTTAAAGAGAGCACTAAGAAAATCCAGTAGCTTTAAGGAATTGTGATTTTCCTAACCATCACGTACAGCTAAGCACATGCTTACGCCATACAAGACGGAAGCTGCTGGTGAATTAGAAGACCTAAAATGCAGGTCCCATACTGAAATCTTGTTTTACTTTTCATCTTGGAGGAAGCAGCAGTACTGCTTGTTGGAATAACTGACAAGGTTGTTTGTTTTGAAGAAAAAAAGCAGAAGGCATTATTAACTCTGCAAATAGAAAATTACAGGGTAAAAGTTCATTAAGTAGGGGGAAGACAAGTTACAAATTTGAATGCTGTAAGTGGTAAGCCCATTTGGAACACAAACTTAATTATAGATTTGATAATCTTGGTATTATGAAGGGGAAGAGTTTTGTGAGTTGCCCAAAGATGTTATTTACTGATCAACAACTTCCAGACAGCAGACACTGCTCAACATGCTAGGGGCCAGTTCTGCACTCAGCAAGTGTAAATTATGTCTGAGAGAGACAAATAGATTCATTAAGACATTTAAAGATACATGGAATTCAGGGAAAAATGATTTTTCAGAGGCCCCCAGAATTCTGAGCAGACTACTTCCTAACAAACTACCATCTGAATGAGTCTGAACGATGAAGAGTCAGACACGAGAAAACCAGAGGGAGGCACTTCCAATAGTAAAAAAACACAAAAGCCAGAGATCAATACAAGGTTACAAGACTTAGGAACCAGGAAGCAAACAGTGTGGCTAGGGTCCAGTGAGAGAGGAGCAAAGAAAGAATGGGTAAAAAAAAAAAAAAGGGCAAGATTGTGGGATTGTGGGGGATAGGAAAGAAGATTGTTATTCACTTTAACTGTGATGGAAACTACCTGATGGTTTTAAAGTAGGGAAGTGATAACTAATGTGTAATTTAGAAAGGTCATTTACGCTGCTGTGTTGGAGTGCTCCAGGGGAAAGACCAGTCAAGAGGCTGTTGTGCAGAGAGACAGGAGTGCTTGGCTCTGCGTTTTAGATGGAGAGGAGTAACTGGATCTGCCAGGTACCCTGGAAGGAGATCAGACAATCTCAAGGAATGATTGGATGTAGGATGAAAGGGAGAGGGAAGAAGAAAGAATGGTATCTAGACTTAACTTTTAACTGTCCTCTTTTCTTTTTTTTTTTGGTACAAGGACTTGAGTGGGGGTGGCTTACTGGAATGTTGGAAGCAGGTGGGTTTAACTGAAAAATCACAGCTAACATGTGCACGTGAGTGGGTGGATGGCGGTTATTCACCAAGATAGGGCAGGCTTTGGGAACCTCGGGGTTGGTGGAAGGAGAAGGAGGACTTAATAGTTCTGTTTTGTAGACCTGAGCAGATAAAAAGCAATATCTAGTAAGATGACTGCTAGTCATATTCAGAATGAATATGCAAAGTCTGAGCCAGAGGGTCAGCAACATATAAGGATTCCGAAGGTACCAGCTAGATGAGAGCATAATTAGAGAGCAGGCAAGGATAACATGAAGGACGCACTATGACGGAAGCCAAGACAGAAGGAAGCATGCTCACACAGTACTACAGACACTTCTATAAGAAAGAGGTTTCAAAGATGACACTACTGACTACAGGAAATGCTGGGGTAGTGTGAGAGGGCTGAGTAAGATACAGGCAGAAAGTGGCCCATTTTCTTTCACTAAACAAAAGATGATGACCTTGATGAGACCCTTCTAGCATGTGTGGAAGATAGTCTGGTTAGAAAGAACTGAGGAGACAATGGGGAGGACTGAGTGGAAACCATCTTTTTTTTTTTTCTTCCCAGAAGTGTAATGCAGTGGGGAGAAACAAATTAGTAAAGGTAAGTTAAGAATATTGTTTGTTTTCTCAAAGATGGGTGGCAGATATTAAAGCGGGTTACCTCCCAAGGAAATGAGGATGGCAGAGAGATGACAGGATGGTATAGGACTCGTGGATATTATTAGAGGAAGACCTGTAAAGAAGCAAGGGGGATGGGATCCATGTGAGGGTGTCAGTCTGACGGACATCAGGGAGACGCTGCCACTGCCAAGCAGAGTACAGACAGGGAGGAAACCATCTGGTCTTGGGTTTTAAATTAGAGAAGTAGCAAATTATTACAGATAACGTATCAAGAAATATAATGAAATTTCTGCGGAGTCCTGTGAGCTTGGCTGACTATAGCAGACTGGCAACCAGTCAAGGTCAAGAACAGTAAGCTTCATAAAGAGAAAATACAACCACAAGCCACAGAAATATCCAAATTTATACACTTTCTATGTCTGCATCCACCAAGGTGGGGAGAAAAAAATAGCCTGAAACTGATCCTATGAACAGGTAAGACAGAGTAACCGAACTATCTTATACTTGAGAGGAGAGAGAATCATAACCAATTATATCAAGTCACCATGACTCTCGTAAGAAATATACTATCTCAATTGTTGCTTCTAACTTAGGAGACGATGAGAAGGTTTACTGGAGTGTCTGATGCAGGCAGATTTAGCTGAGAATCAGGATAATCCATTCCACATAAAACTAGGAACTGGGTGACTATGGATGTACATATGTGTACATGTATATGGTGGTAGGGTGGGTGTATCAGTTAAGGTGACTTTGGACAGAAGGACATAGACTGAAGAGTATATGGAAATGTGTTCATGTACAACCTTCTTCATTGTTTCCGTTTTGAAGGAGGAGGTGATCCCTCACTGGCCCTCAAACTTTTGATCCATCCATCTAAAGTCAGACCTAAACACTCATTCCCATATGCTACCGTGTGCCAGGCGCTGTGGAAAGGTACTGAACACACAAGAGATGGGGCAGGCAGGATGCCTTTCCCTGGTTCTTGACCTTAAAGGACTCAAGAGTTTGGTAGGGATGACTAATAAGCAATCACTCAGACACACCCAGTGTATTACATATTAGATGGCAGTGAAGGGGATACTAACAGAATATACACGAAGAAAGGGATTCCAAGGTCACAGGGCTGTGGTGGTCGAAGGAATACCAATACACTCATTTTAGCATCTCAATCCTGATTCTCTCCTTATACAGTGCTGCAGGTGGAGGTAACGTGTGCTAGACACTAAAAAGACTAGAAACGAGAGCTGACATGAGTTTTAAGAAAAATGAGAAATTCGCTGCTTCAAACATTAGGAACCTGAGATAGGAAAAGGGATCAACTTTTTTGAAAGACAAGACAGTGGATCCTACCCATAGGGTACAATGAAAGAGGCACTGTTGGGGAAAAAAAAAGGAGTTAGAATTTCCAAGGCTTAAGGACCACACGAGAATGGGTTTAAAAAAACTCACATCAAAGCCATTCAAGTTTTTAACTTGGTAGCAACACTGGTAACAGTTTCAGTAGAAAGGTTTGGAGAGGTTCAGGAACAGAGTTCTAAGAAAAGAATGAGGAATTGGGGCTTCACCTTCAAGGCTGAGGGGAATCGTGGGTAGGCACTGTTAATACGGGAACTATGAGTACCAGGTGTTGGCTTATGAAGTCAACGTCAACAGGCTTTTGGATAGCATTGCCCAGTAACAACCCAGGAAAGTACAGGAGAGGAAATGTCTAATACCAAGAAAGAGAACTCCAGGAGTATGTTGGGAAGACAGAAAGGGAATATTTTGAAAGGGAATTCAATCTACTGTCACCTAAAAATGAAACTTAAAAGCACAAGAGAAAGTCAATGGCATGCTACTTCAGGTTCACGTATGACTTTTAAAATTATATACATGCCACAGAATTGGAGAACTAGTTAAAACGGCCTTTAAAAAAAAAAGTTTATAATCAGTGAAAACAAGTGACCGTAGCAGGCACCAAAATAACATTTAATTCTCGACTACAGTGGCAATACATTTCTTGGGCAAGCTCATGCAGAAGCGCCACAGAACTCAGAAGCATGAAACCGTACATGCTAACACACCGTAGCCATGCAAACATGGGCTGAACATCTGTGCTATTCTGCAAAGCCGAGCACAAACCATGGCGCATGAGAGCATTTTTGTACTAGCCCCTAAGTCAATAATGATTTATCCCTAGGGAAAGGTCGATTTTCTCCAAGAGTTAAACTATATTGCCACGTGGATACAAGGTCAAAGTACACTAGGACCGGAGACTTACTTCTAGGGAGCGCAAATATAAGCTGTCACTTAAAACATGGAAACTAGGCAACCAATGACAATAGCTACTGAGCCTCTCCAGCTTCCCATCATGCACCTCAACTGTTTCTAGTGCCATTTTTCGATCCCTCTGTTGGTTTTACTTTAGCCTCTCTTTCACCTCATTTTGATAATCATCACGTACAAAGCTCAGCTTTACCTGCCTTCTTCCTTCTGCGGTGCACAAAGCCATGCCTGGTAACTCAGCATCTGTCTTTAATTTGTATTAATTCACTTTTATACTTTGTTTGGTGCAGTGTTACTGCATAACAAATAGGGTACTGGAGCTAGAGGCATGCATTCCAGAAACCTATAGTAGAGTCTTCTCTGCCACCCAATACAAAGCACAAGAAAGATAACAGGGGTAAAGTAGAAAAGACACCCGAAGCCATTGGGAAAGTTAGCAGACCGAGAAATGGGATTTAGAGTAGGATTAACAGAGTCAATACAGGAAACTAAAACACGAAAGAAAAATAGTTTAAAATAATTTTAGGTGTTAGGATGTTATAAACAGATTATTTTGGCATAAAACTCTAGAGCTCTGAGGAATATGAGATACATGTTTGTTCTAAAAGACACAGCTAAGAATATGACATTCCAAATCTTACCTTCATTTACCCTGAACTTTTCATTTCAATCCCCCTCAGGAATTATGATAATCAATCAAAAAGATGGTAAAACCTCACCTGACCAAACATGTTCTACTGGTCAACACATCTGTAGTATTCCTGAGAACAGGCTCAAATCATACCTTTTTAGAGAACACGTTGGTAAGCTGGAATTGGGGAAGCAGGAAACCCTGATGCCTGGATGGAAGGGCTACTTCTAAAGGCCACAGAGCTGAGGAGAACTCCACAGGCTGGCTACTGAATGCCTCCCACAGGGCTCTTCCCTGAGTTCCCCACCAGGTACTCTTGCTAATAATTACTGCTTCCTTCCAGCCCCAAGCCAATGGGCCAAGTAATCATGAGAAAAAATCCTTAAAACCCTTTCTTCCTTCCAGCATTGACTCTCTCAGGTATTTTGTCACTGACAGAAAGTTGACACACAAAACCATTTATCCACCATGGAACTCCAAAAATAAGTCTGTTTTTCCACTGAGGGAAAAATTAAGAAAACAAGAACAAAGTAGCTCTTTTTCAGTATCTCAACCCTTCCGTAAAGTATACGGACTGAACTTTTATAAAAAGCAGTCCCCCGTGCCATTTAAAAGCATCTACCCAGAGATACCACGGCTAAAGTGTCACTTGGGCAAGCTGTTTAACCTTTTTTTTCCCCTATAAAATAAGATAAAGGAGTTTTAAGAATAAAAGGGGCTTACACTTGTAGGAAAGCACTAATAACCAATCTAGCACGAAAGCGTTATGTAATATAAGTGTTAATGTTTTTGTTGTTGCTATTCCTAAGAAAAATCTTGGGCTGCTCCTTCAGATGTTACACAATCTAAAAGAGGCACCTCCAGCACGACTGTTCTTCTCCACTCACTTCTCTCTTAAGCATAAGACACTAACACTGTGTATTTAATTTAGACATTACATATTTAACATGATGAACTGTCTCTCTCTTTTGAGAAAAAGGTAGAGATCTTTGCTTTATTCATGGATATATGCTCAGGGCCTAAAAAGTACCTGTCACAGAGTAGACAGTTTCTAGTACTATACTTGAGCAATTTTAAGGCACATATATTGCAGTAAAATTTCTGAGTGCCAGATGTAACTTAATTTTATACTCAGAATTTCCTCCAACAATTGTCAATACCCTTCCACCTTAGGGAGATATCTGGAATCTATGGAACACACAAAGCACCGAGTCAGATCAAAAGCCATGTCAGGGAGTGACTCATAAACAAATGCACTGAAGGGACAGGGGACACCTTTAGTTTCAGTAGTCAAACCCAAGTACTGTGAAGAACCATTTCAGTTCTCATACTCCCTGAATACAGATTACTCTAACAAAAAGGCATGTATTTACTGTCTAGACACACCCCTGGCCACACAAACCCCAGCTGCTTATTTTTGACCCTGATTCACTGATGATCTGCCTGGTTGATCAGTGACAAAACCGTTAAGATTCTGGAGTGAAACATTCCTAATAAGTGAAAGCTCTGACGAGTCCTTTGGAAATATTTCCATGAAGTTTGCTGCCATTTTGGTTATACTTCAGTAACTATAAACACAAATATGCTTACAGTGGACTGCTTTGTAATCTTTAAAAAGATATTTCAAAATGAAAATATATTTATGTATAAACTGTAAAGACCAATTTAAACAGTGCATAATTTCACTTAGTGCCCCAAAGCACACACAATAAGGATAAAATGCTAATTGTTAAATCAGTTCTCCAGAGATCATTCATGGCTTCTATCATGTTGTCAAGAGTAAACAATCTCTTCTTCCCAGAATTTCTAGAAGCAAAACTTCCAATTAATTCATTAACTAATTCAAAAGTCAATGTAACATACTACTCAAAATAATAAAGCAATCTATACTACAAATTGATGAGAAATCACACTTACAAAAAAAGATGACAAGATGTAGGAGAGGTATATTCAGCAATTAGGAAACAAAAACTCTAATAACTTATAGCAACAAAATACAAAAATATGGCTGGGTGAAGAGCGGTCATATATCTGAAACTGAAGTTCAATATACACCTCTGCAGTACTT